GAGAAATTGCAGTCGTAAAAACTTGTAAAAAAAAATGATCAACATTGTGTAATTATAAAATTCCGGTGATCACTGGCAGGGGAGTGTACCATCAAAGATAGCACGTACTAGATTTACTCTAAGAAAATTTACAAAAGAAATACCTTTTCCTCTTGCTTTTGAATTAAACTTTATAGTAAGATAGCTTGTTAAAGCTGAAATTTCTGTAGACTCAAGATACTTTTCAAATGGATTTGCTGTTCCATCTGTCAAATATTCTTTCATCACTATTCGCCTTGGTGGATCATGTTTAGTGTTAATAGCATAATATGCATATTTTTCAACACCAGCAGCAAATGGTTTTTGTGCAATCTTGAAATGAAAAGTCTTAGAAATGAGGTTCTTTTTATCATAAAATCTTTGATTTTTAAGTTCCGCTACATCTTCAGGAATATAATAACATAAAGTTACACCTTTTAGAGGTGGACGAGTATCCCAATCGGGAATATTTCTGTCGATTTCAAGTCTTCGTGGTGATGAATCTAAATTCCTTCTAGTTCCAATGGTGCTGGTTAATGAAACTGACAAAGTGATAGATAATGTAGTAGCTGCGACAAATTTATTAATTAATTCTATTGGATCTCCTCCTACAAGTTCAAAAATTGAAAATTCACCAATAATACTACGAAATACTTCGATCATAGTATCTGTATAATTTGTTATTTTTCCAAAAAAGTAGAGAATATTTTCTGATTTCATTTTGTCTAATACACTCTCAGCTGTCAACCCATTGGGATCTCCATCTGGATATTCATCTTGCATGGTAGTAAAACGTTTACCGTGAGGTGGATAATGAAAAAGGACTCTAGTACCATCATTCCAACTCATTTGAGTTATAGCCGCATAAAGACCTCCAAGCACATCTTCTGGACCATCTCCACCACCTGTGGCTGGCACTGAAGTTAAATTTCTTCTAAATTCTTCATACTCATTTGTAAAATCAAAAATTTGCAGTCGCGAAGTATTATCACAATGATCGCGATAACCACAAAAGCCAACTTTAATTTTAATGCTTGGATTTGTACTTTTAATGTATTCTGTCACTTGTAAAATACAATCCTTGGCCGCTGCGATATGTCCTGCCATAGAACCTAAATATGTAACATGATAACAAATGTCAAAAAATAAATTTATGCAGAAATTAAAAATAATTAAATAATTCAGATGATACAGACCAGTACAATCTAAAACGTAACAAAGATCAACTTCCATTGAACGCTCTATGTTAGCAAGTGTCTTGAGTATAGCCTTCTCTCTTCTTCTTATAACTTCTCTTCTTCTTATAACTTCTCTTCTTCTAAGTTTTGCATCATCAGTGGTAGCTGAAGGTACGATTGTGGATGAGCCAGTAGATACATGTGTGTTGTTAGTAACTGTTTCACTGGGTGCGGTTGCAGTTACGTGGTTAGTGACTGTATTATTAGATACAGATGTATTGGTAGCTGTCCCATTAGTCCTGGTTGCAATTTCAGTTGGCACTTCATCGTCATAGCGGCCAATACGTTGGTCTTCGATGTTCATTTCTTCAAAGTCATTTAAAAAGGATGCAGGTAATGAAGAGGCATTAGAACTCATCTCTGTTTCATTGTCATTTCTAAACCTATTAGTATCATCTTCAGAAATTTCGGTACAAATTTCTGTAGTTTCTCTATATTCAGTGGTTGACATTTTTTTTTATTAAAAAGAAAGAGGAATAACACCTGTAAATACAGTATGTTTATTTATTAATTTACTAACGTAACGGTAATAATTCTTTAAATAATAGAAAAAAAAATGCAGTTGCTGTATTCTCTTTTTGGATTTATTAAAAAGAAAGAAAGCACGTAAACTTGGTTTGTCCTGTTTGATTATGCAAATCAGCCTACAGTTGCATACTAATTTTCCTTGATAATATAAAATTTTATAAGATAATATGCGGTTGTTGTTCTATACGTAGAATAATATTACAGGATTTATGAAATTCATTTAGAATTTACTATGAAATTTGGCGTAAATTCCATATGAATTTTATAAAATTCGTAAATTTCAAATGTTCTAAACCCCAAAACGATAAGTCTGGTGACCAAGTGTTTTTGCTCACATTTTCAAATTATAATACGTATACGTAGACGCAATCAAGAAATTGATTACGTAGTAATAGTCATTGTTTCCATAATCGTAACAAACCTACTGGAATATACATATCGATCGATATCAGCAGATCTATAGAATCATTGTGCCCTAAAATATTTGTTTATCGGTGGCTGTGCGACATAGTTGCACGAACGGCGCTAACTTTAATACCAATATATTATATGATTTTTATTATGTCTTAATATTATAGATTCTAATATGAATTTTATATGAACAAAAATTTTGATAGCTGTTTTTCAAAATGTAACCAATGTGATAGTATAAATATTGTTAGAAAAGGGTTGAGCAATCGGCAATTTAGAAGGATGGTTTCATAGCCAGTTAAGAAATTATGTAGTGTGGATTGAATGTTATGAAATCTCTTTCAAGATTCTGTAGAATTTTTCAATGAAGTGACAAGAATCTGAAGGCTATGAGATCACATGTTCAATTTGTTATTTCCTTATCTATTATGATTTCTTGTTAACGTTAAATACGATTTTTTTTGGTTTAGTAGTATAATTGCGTATGGTAGTTGAAGATCAAATTACACACTGTGACTATTAGCAAACGAGTAGGAAGCAAAATGGTTTCAACAGCTAATCACTAATGTAAGAAAGATGTGATTATTTCTTGCCAGTGTCAAGATATTTAAGGACCTTTGTTTAATAGAGGCAGTTATCTTTCCTTTTGCTACCGCTCATTTTGTAGTGAAGACTGGCTCTTCATCACCTCTCTCCCGCCTAGAGATGTGCGAATGCATATTTTTTTTTGGTTCTGCATTGCATAATGCAGCATGCGACATTATGCAATCATGGTGTTCTACCAAAATCAAGGTGCAAGATTCATATCCAATCTTTCTCATCCCTGGACAGAAGGGTATTAGGGCTGTTAATCGGTCCGTCCGGTCCGTCTTGGCCCAAAGGCTGGCAGTCTTTTAAAAAGTTTGACCGGACTGCGGTCCAGGACTGATTAGGACCGATCATTATGAGACTGGACGGACTGATAATTAGACTAATTAAGTGCCACATAAGCTGCACCAGCATATTAATTATTATGTATTATTACCCGTTATTATTATAGAC